TTCCTTATCTTCGGGCCAAGCTGGTCATCGAGTTAACCCGTTCCTTTCCTCCTTCCTCCTTCCTCCTCCTTTGGCCTCTCGTAGCCTAGAAAGGAATCTTTTACTCCACACTCACACCTTCAGCCCTTCCCAAGATACTTTCCAGTGCATATAAAGGCGTTAGCAATATACAATGCTGATGCTTACCCAGGGACCCCATGGGGGGGGTCATTTTATTGTGACACCATTCTGTCCCATGTATGAGGAGACTGCTGGTGCTAGTCGGCACTTCTCTTAGAGAAGACGCACCTCTCTGACTTCTGGAATGGCTTCAGTCTGTTTTGTAGGTTCTTTTTCTCAGGGAGCCTGACGAAGGGAAGCGGTCTGTCTTCCTTCTGGGCTAGTAATCTGAGCTCATTCAAGAAGTACCTGTCTGTACCGGCTCAGGCCCACTTTGAGGGGCCTGACAGTCCACAGCAGTCTGCAGTGCCGAGGCAGGTCTCATTGTCTGCTCGAGAAGGTGCTGCTTTAGTCTTAAGTCTCTAGCCACCTGTGTCCTCTTTGTAAAGGATTTACAACTAGAGCACCTTTTTTTATGTACCCTTCCCTGAGACACAGTAAGCATATAGTGTGGGAATCATTATGGGGAAGAGCTGCCCTAGAAGAAGGGCAATGAAACTGATGAGGGCTGTGACGTTGCACTCCATAATGTTTTATGGAAGTATGCTTATGAGTGTGAATATAATGTAACTGGAATATGCTTTATGCAAAAGGTCTCTTGTAAGGTATTACAAAGCTTATAATCTACTGAGTGTGTTCATCCTATTTGTATGAATGTATCATTCTTGTATCTGAAACTAGGTATATGAAGTATTACTCTGAGGTCCTATGTAATTATGCAAAGTGTGGGCCATTAATGGTGGTTTAGAATATTGATGGCTCCCATTGACTAGGACAATTGGTTGTAAATGGCTCTGTTTACTTGTGAGTCAGGCCGGGAAGAATGAAGACTTGGGGTCTCACAGGACATGTAATCATGTGACCTGGTAATGAAATCCCATCTTAAAACTGGTACCTTTCCATTTAGAAGGAGGGGTGGGGACCCAGAGAGACAAAAGATTCCCACTTTGTGCAAAAAGTATGAAAGGGGTTGAACAGAACAAAGGGGACCGCAGTCATGAGAACACCTCTGCTTTCCACCGGAGGACTTGTCTATACCACCCACCGAATCGGTGGGCAGCGATCAATCCAGTGGGGGTTGATTTATCGCGGCTAAATCACGACTGCTGAGTGCGCTCCCATTGACTCCTCTACCAAAACGAGGAGCACAAGTGGAGTCAACGGGAGAGCGTCAGCAGTGAAGACACCGCGGTAAGTAGATCTAAGTACATCGACTTCAGCTATGCTATTCACGTAGCTGAAGTTGCGTATCTTAGATCGATGCCATGCAGTAGTGTAGACAAGCCCTAAGATGTCTGCTGGCACTAACAAGGATTGTACCAGGGGAAAAGATTGGGCCCAGACTAGGAAGGAGTCTAGTTTGTGAAAGAAGCTTATTGGAACATCTCTGAGGGTGAGATTTACCTGTATTCAGTTTCTTAATGTATTAGGCTTAGACTTGCATGTTTTTTCTTTATTTTGCTTGGTAACTTACTTTGTTCTGTCTGTTATTACTTGAAACCACTCAAATCCCACTTTTTATACTTAATAAAATCACTTTTGTTCATTAGTAAACCCAAAGTAAGTGATTAATACCTGGGGGAGCAAACAGCTGTGCATAACTCTCTATCCGTGTTATAGAGGGAAGACAATTTATGAGTTAAATCTGTTTTACTCTGTATAAAGCTTATACAGGGTAATTTAGGGTTTGGAACCCATTGGGAACTGGGTGTCTGGATGCTGGAGATAGGTGACCTGCTGAGCAGTTTTTGGTTAAAGTCTGCAGCTCTGGGGGCGTGGACCAGACCCGGGTCTGTGTTGCAGCAGGCTAGCATGTCTGGATCATCAAGGCAGGGTTCTGGAGTCCCAAGCTGGCAGGGAAAATGGGCTCAGAGGTAATTCCAGCACGTGAGGTGACAGTCCCCAGGGGGTCTCTGTGGCCAAACCTGTCACAAGGGCATACCACTGGAAGAAACTACCGAACTGCTAACTAATGGTACTAACTATAACTATAAAGAAAGAAAATCACAAAGAGCTGTGAAGATAAGTGTGAGGAAAAATCATACTAAGAGCTCCAGCTCTAGCTGCAGGTGGTGAGAAGGAGGTTGGGATGGTGCAGCCCTTATATAGCCATGGGAGGGGCTACACAGGGCGGGGCATTGAAGTCTGCATGAGGAGGGGGTGCTTTGAGCACAAAGACAGATTCCAGACAGAGCTCAGCGTCCACCTAAAAGGACAGATAATATAAAGTGTATGGAAATAAACATCACACTCTGCATGGTGTCATGGACTGGTAAGGATAAGGAGCAGCTTATGAGACAGATACAAACTTCTCCAACACTGACCCCAGCTCAAGTGACACACTCTTGGTTTTGATGTGCCCTGGGATTGTCAGCTGGGTAGTCAAAGCACCTACTTGTACAGATCCCATTACAGAGAACGCAGTATGCAGCTGAGCTTCCCCTAGAGAAGATCTATTCCTCCTCTCTGTCCTTGGAGCATATGTTCTCTCGTTCTTCAGCAGAGAACTCTCTCCTCTGGGTCAGTGATGAACACCACAGAAAGATATAGTGGTTTTCCCTGCAGGGCTCAGACACTGTGAGCTCATCAGGAAAGGCACTGGCCTGGCCAAAAATATACAAGTCAGCCATATTACATTATGGCACCACAGCTCTGTTGGAGATACTGCAGTACACCACACTCAATGAAGAGTGCAGTACACCACACTCAACTTCCCTCATCAGTGTCCCTGGCCAGTGATGCACCAGAAGATCAAGAAGAAGGGGACAGGAACAATAGCAACCTGCATCACCTCTACATTATCTTCATTGCCTGATGAAGCAGTACTGGTACCAGATGACTTAAAAGCATTCCAGAATATCATTAGGATTGCTGAGTTCGAGTGCTGGCCCCTATGTATATTCCACTGTGGGTACACAAACACTCCATGCACTTGAGAACAGAGAATTCTTGCAAGCACTGTTCGTTGGTCTACACCTGCACCCCTGCTCTCCTCGTGCTCCGCATGGGGAATATAAGGGGAAGGGTGGACTGACTGCCTCTCTAGCTCCTTCTTACAGCTGCATAGCCTGAGTTAGCACCATGCATGGACACCTCCAATGTCCAGAGCTTCTCCTTTCTCTTCAAGCTGAGGCAGTTTTGACTGTCAGACTTGTTGCAGGTAGCCAGATGGCCCCTTGTGCAACTCCCAACCTGCCCTGACATAATATCTCAGAGTAAAGGTCAGATGTTGCACCTGACGCCTTGGATGTTGACTGCTGAGCACTACTGACAGAGTGTTCCCTCAAGACTAACTTCTCAAAATGGAAAAGATATTCTATATGAGCCCCTCAAAATGATACAGACCAAGGGGAGGCCCTGAGACTCATAGACTTTAAGGCTGGAAGAGACCATCATGATTAAGGTTTAAGATTTTTTCACTGTTATTTTTAGTAAAAGGGCAATAAACAAAAATTCATGGAACCCTGTGACATTTTTGTGACTTTTACTAAAAATGACAGGAGGTTTGACGGGGAAAGACTGAAGTCCAAGCAGAGGGAAAAAGCCTGAGTCCCGCTACCGGGGAGTGTTGGGAGACTCTGGCTGGGCGGGAGTCCAGCACCCACCACTGTGGTGGGTGACAGCTCTGGGACCCCTCCCGCAGCCCCAGTGACTCAGAGCTCAGGGGTCCCTGCCACTTGTGGCAGCTGACAGCTCTGGGGTGTCTCCCTCTCCCCCTCCCCGGCAGCTCACAGCTCCTGGGACCATGCTCTCTTTTATTGTTGTTTGTATCTTTTAGAGATAAGGGATGATAATTGTTATTCTGGGAAAATAGGTTAACATAGATATCTGTTCCCTCAACCACTTTGCTCTCAGAGTTGTGTAATTATTTTGTTTAATTGTTTTTAAGGAATAGAGGCAGGGAAGTTGAGTAACCGAGGCAGATGTACTCCTCTAATGATGAGGCAGTGCAACAGTTAAGACCTTCAAGCTGTGCAAAAATTTGACCCATATTCATAATAGGAATATGATCCACAAGTTGGTGATCTATTATCACTAGGTACCTTTTACAAAAATGCTAACTATGGCAAGTAACTGACTTCCAGTTCTTTTATAGGCATAGGGTTATAAAAGGCCCTTTTAGTAGCATTTACAAGTGTCAAAGTAAAAGCTTTTTAAAAGTAAAAGTGTCAAAGCTTATCTGACTCATGAAGCAATGTTTTTCTGTTTTGTTTTTGGTATTTTTATTAAACTAACAAGATGTCCTGTTTTGGTCATTAATAGAAATGATTTTACTACCTGAATTTTTCTATTTATTAGGAGTTAGTTGCAGTTCTTACTGTTCTAGGGTGGTAAGTAGGGCCATATCTATTTTGCTAATTACAGAATTACCTGTCCCAGGGTCCTGCCATGTGTGCATCTGAAGTTCAAGAGCAAACTCAAAACTGGCTCATTAAAGGAAGTAGGGAGCAATACAGAGAGCATGCTCTTTGTTTTTGTCGTGTTTGTGGCAGGGAGGATTTACAGTGGTAAATGCTTCCAAAGGGTAGAAGTATGTGACTTAGATTGCTTGCTCTGGCTGCATTAAAATGGAAAAGGAGATAGAGCTTTATTCTGTAGATGGAATAAATATTACTAAATCTCTCTGTGTTACAAAACCAATTCTAAGGTGAAAGAAGAGACTTTGGTTTGAATACATAAATCCAAATTCCGCCCTCGGTTAAAAGCCACTGAAGTCAGTGAGATGATTTGGACATAACTGAGAGCGTAATTTAGTATTTAAGATGTGGCGGTACAGCTTGCCTATATTTATTAAGTAGAGAAGTTTCTTTTACATTTCCAATGTTGTAATTTTCTTTCAGTGGGAGGACAGAGGTCCAGTCTGTGCAGTATGGTAAAGAAAAAGCAAACAAAGACAGGGTATTTGCCAGGTAAGCCATTTACATTTGTTTGTATGGAATTTAATTATATGGTAATTAATACTACTTTGGACTTAGACTCTTCAGTAGGTTACTTTGTGCACTTCAATAAGCTTCCCCCCAATACCAGTATATTTGGATGGAGATGTTATGATAAACTACTTTTCTCCGTTTTTTAAAAAAAATAATAGATATGCAAGCTTTATCTCTTGTGAGCTGCTCTTTTGGTGGAGTTGAACCCATACCAAGGAGTTATAATTTGAATACTGGAACATATCTTTTTATCTGAGGTGGGCAAAAGTGATAGGGAAACACATAACAGAAAAAAGGATACTCCGGTGTCTTCCTTTTTATGTGTTTGCAAAGAAAAGATTGCAAACTATTCAGGGTGGGGACGGTCTTCCAGTCCGTACAGTACGTAGCATAGTGGGGGCCCTCAGTACAACTAATAATAAAATTTACTACAAGAAGAATTTTCTTATCTTCATTCTGTTGAGCACGTGTGAGTTTATGGGTATGTTCATTCAGTGATAATATTCTAAAATTGTAATTCCCTTTAAAATATTTGCCCTAACTGCCCAGATCTTCATAAATGTGTGCTTCACTGTAACCTCTATTACCGTAATTTTGCTAAGAATTCTCTTGAGAATGCCTTCAGAAGTGATTAATTATATCATAATTGGCTGACTGTAGAAACTGTTCTGCAGCATTGTAATTCTAATTATTATTTTTCTGCTGGATTCCATAGTGTCCACAATACGCTAGGCACTTTACAAACAAAAGGAAGCATTACTCTTGCCCTGAAGAGTTTACGATCTGAGACAAAGGGTAGGGAAATGGAAAACAATGTATGTGTAAAGGGGCTAAACTGGTGATTGTCCATGTCTTGGAAATAAAATGTTTTAATGGAACAATACGAAGATTGTGTTTGTGTGTGAAACAGACTGTTCTCAAGTACCTACAACTTTGCCATAAACTGGTAGGTGTTTAACAAGTGTAGGCCTGTGGCTGCGCATTGTATAGCATAATTACACTAAAAAAACTACATTAAAAGAATGTTTATGTTGACTGCTTGACTCTGAAAAAGTTAGAAACCTAAATTCAGTCCCCTTGCATATGTGAATTTTGGTAATCCTGTTTATGTCACATAGAAAATCTGTGATAAAACAAGAATAGAATCTAGCTCTCCTGGGTCCCAGTCCAGTGCCCTATTCACAAGAAACAATGCTATCTCTTCTTGTAGTATGCTGCCTGATTCACTGTCTGTCTTGTACATCAGGTAAAATGGGTTCTGTAGAATAAGTAATATGAGATTATGTAGTCAGACTATCATAATGTATATACATTAGGGGGTTTCTCAGGCAACCTTCGTTCTGACACTGTTTACATTTTAAGTGCTTGAATTTGCATCTAGTGAGTCATAGCGAGCTTGGAACCCAGAGCCTTTAGATCCAAAGCACAGACCTCTACCTCTTGTGCCCAAAGAATAAGATGATAGTGAAAGTAGGCTGTTATCCTCTGTGTACTCAAGCCCCTAGAAGGGGAGGATGGCACACTTCGCTTGAATTTTACGGTAACTGTTCGCAAGACAGCAGAGTAATGTTGTGAATCAAGAATCCTGGATTCTACTCCTGGATGGGTGGGGGGATTGTGGTTTTAGTGGTTAGAGAGTACAGTCAAGGGCAGAAATTTGGCATTTTCATTCTGAATGCACAGCGCAGTATAACTTAAGTTAGACCAAAGAGATGGCTACTGCTGCTGCATCCTTCTGCCAGGACCTCTAGATCTATGCCTAGAACATAAGGGGATCATTGTGAGTTACGAGCATCCAGTGCAGTTGGCATGTACGGAATTTTATTGGGCTGGGAGTTTCCTCAGTACATAGGTAGCTCCATGAGATTCAGAGCAGTTACTGCTCAAAGATTTTAGCAGCCAGCCACTGATAAGCTCTACTGATTATGTGCAGACTACAATTTTCAGAAACCAATAACTCTGCCAAATCTGATTGGATTTTCGCAGGTCAGTCATTCTAATAATATTTAGATCTTTAGATTAGTCTACTTAATTTGTTTTATAAAAATACTTAGATATGTTAGTTTAGTAATGAGGCTAATAAATTTGTCCAAAAAAGAAATTGTTTTGTATTAACTTCACTGCTGTAAGTTTTGATTGACTAAGTGAATAATTTGATTTCTCACTCATTTTATTATAATCTTCATTGTATACACCATTGTATCATGCTGATATTTCCCCCCGGCTACGTTCTTTCCCTGTTGTTTTTTTAAACAGTGGTGTGGCTTAAATATATTTTTCTTTAGTTTTTTCCATTTCTCTTCATGTGTTGCTTTTGTTGTGCTTCTTGCTGGGCTCCTTATAAATGCACATCTCTATTGTGGGTTGTTTTTTGGGGCGTAAACTAGTACTGCAGTCTGTGTGCTCAACTGCTTAACTTTATAGGAGTGATTTGCCTTGTGTTTTAGAGGCTTTTTAATTGGTCTATTAACTCGGGCTGTTGATTAATCACAGTTAACTCGCATGATTAACTCAAATTAACTACAATTAAAAAACATTAATTGTGATTAATCGCACTGTTAAACAATAGAATACCAATTGAAATTTATTAAATATTTTTGGATATTTTTCTACTTTTTCAAATATATTGATTTCTATTACAACACAGACATACATACATAGAGTCTACAGTGCTTACTTTATATTATTATTTTTATTACAAATATTTGCACTTTAAAATTATAAACAAAAGATACTATTTTTCAGTTCACCTCATACAAGTACTGTAGTGCAATCTCTTTGTTGTGAAAGTGCAACTTACAAATGTAGATTTTTTTTTGTTACATAACTGCACTCAAAAACAAAACAATGTAAAACTTTAGAGCCTAGAAGTCCACTTAGTCCTACTTCTTGTTCAGTCAATTGCAAAGAGAAACAAGTTTGTTTACATTTATGGGCGATTCTGCTGACTGCTTCTTATTTACAATGACACCCGAAGGTGAGAACAGGCATTCACATGCCACTTTTGTAGCCGGAGTTGCAAGATATTTATGTGCCAGATATGCTAAACATATCTCCCTTCATACTTCGGCCACCATTCCAGGGGACATGCTTCCATGCTGATGATGCTCGTTAAAAAAAAAAAAAAAAAAGTGTGAATTAAATTTGTGACTGAACTGCTTGGGGGAGATTTGTATGTCTTTTCTGTTTTACCCACATTCTGCCATGTATTTCATGTCATAGCAGTCTCGGTCTGCATGCATCAGTCTGCATAGCATATTTCATGTCATAGCAGTCTCGGTCTGCATGCATCTAACATGCATCGGTCTGCTCTGCTTTGGATCATTATCGAGCAGAACCTGTCATCAGCATGGACACGTCTTCTGGAATGGTGGCTGAAGCATGAAGGGACATATGCATCTTTAGCACAGCTGGAACGTAAATATCTTGCGATGCCGGCTACAACAGTGCAATGCGGAAGCCTGTTCTCACTTTCAGGTGACGTAAACAAGATGTGGGCAGCATTATCTCATGCAAATTGTAACCAGACTTGTTTGGCTGAAGTAGGACTGAGTGGACTTGTAGGTTCGAAAGTTTTACATTGTTTTGTTTTTGAATGCAGTTATATTTTGTAGATAATTCTACATTTGTAAGTTCAACTTTCATTATAAAGAGATTGCACTACAGTACTTGTATTAGGTTGTAATCAAAAATAAATATAAAATGAGCACTGTACACTTTGTATTCTGTTTTGTAATTGAAATCAATGTATTTGAAAATGTAGAAAACATCCAAAAATATTTAAATATTATGCTATTAGTGTTGAGTGCGATTAATCATGCAATTAATTTTAATTGCTCAATTTTTTTTAATCGCTTGACAGCCCTACTATTAACATTTTGTTTTTATTTTGAAAAATACTATAGTAGTGATTGGGCAAAGCTGTGAATAAGAGCTTGTCTGCAGTTATTGCTTTTCAGAAAGTTCCGACTTAATTAAAAGCTACACACCATTCATGTTTTGCTGTCATCTTGTCAGATCTCAGAAGCTAAGCATGGTTGGGCAGAGCCAGTACTTTGCTCCAGGAATACATAGATGTGTCAGGAAATTGTTAGTTATTCAGTAGGCGGCTCTCTTCTCTTTGTCAGTGCCGAACTAATGCCTCATGGCACAGTGGGCACTGCAGCTTGGGAACCTATCTTCTTGATGAGATGTAAAGCCAATATTATGATTACTCCAACATTCTACTTAGGATCTATTCATAAGAGTAGTTGTGTTTATTTCAGGTGTCCTGGCCAAATTGCAACTTAAGGCGTTGTTTGGTTAACCTAAAATTCCTCCTGCAGTTTCAGTTCAATGCAGCGTTCTTCTTCACATCTATTCTAAGCTGTTCCATAGTGTTGCTCTTAACTGATAAACATCTGGTGCCTGATCCCAGAGTTGACTGATTTTTTATGGTGAATGAAGCATTCTGTGTATTGTTTGCATATTAATTTGTAAGGTGCATTGGGATTCCTCAGAATGAAAAGCAATATGAAATGTAAGATGTTTATAAAATATACTACATATGTACAGGGGACTGAAGTACAATTCCTCTTATCTATTGTGCATTTAAATTCCAAGCCATAATACTGAGTTCACATTAGTCCCTTCACATTAATATAGAGGCTAATTCTTGCTCTCTGGTTTCCCCTGGTATTATGCAAATTTTGTTCCTGGAACCTGCCTTTCTGAATTTTTTTTTCACTAGATGTAGTTATTATTTTCTTTTGTATAGATCTGTTTTTTAAAATGGTGGCATTTAGCATTTCTGTAGATATTACAGTTGGTTCTCGTTAAGCAGGTTTGTGTTGTAGATATTCATGTTGCTGTGTGTTATGAAACCAAGAACATTGGGAAGGATTGCTATAGGATGATGTAATAGTCTATTTGCAATGGAAGATGTAATATTTAATATCTAAAGTATTAATTTATAAGCACATAGAGGATAAGGGTAATAA